TGGAATGGTACTCAATTCTTGTCATACCTTATTCCATAAAAATAACTGTCTTCACATTTAATGAAATCATACCAGCTGCTTCCTCCTTATTCTACCTATCATCATCCTGTTGTGGTTCCAACCTGGACCACGTGCGACCTTTTTGGTTAAAAGCAGCAGCTATGCAAAATACCAGTTGCATTTCTACATCCCTCTGAACAGGGCAGCATATTAGGTGAATAAGCATCCCTAAGCCTGCAGTTCTTACAAGCAGGAGTAAAGATCAGCATTACACATCCAATGCTACTGCACTCTCCAATTGCAAGGGAGGACAGCAATCACACAACCATTATTTAAGGCCTAAATTATTACAAATTCTGTTGGAATTCAACTGAGTCACAGTCATAAACTTACTATTTTTAGTATGCTAGATATAAAATCATCAATGGCAAAGCCAAAAGCATTTATAATACAGTGAAGTGTTAAAAAGAAGTAAGGAATAGCAGTGAAGGCAAAAATGTGGTGTTTCTATGCCAAGGGCCAGTTTGTTTCTGGGATAAGCTTCAGAGCGTATGTAACAACAGAGGCTGGGTTTTCTTATGCTCATGCATACTATCGACAGACAAGGCAACAGAATTCATTATGGCTGTAAACTAACTGGTTTTAATTTGACACTGCAGATAAGCTCTGTCGACAAATTAATGTACTGTAGTAATAATGGCTGCAAGCCTGGTCTTTACTCAGAATATTGCTCCTTTGAAAGTTATTACTAGCTCTTCTGCAAACATTGGTCCATTTAAGAGGGAAAATGGAAGAATGCTCCAAATTCTCAAAGTTTTCCTGATCTTTACAAAGCTCAGACATCTGAATAGGATTCTGCTATCAGCCAGCATGCTTCATGACCTGTAGGCGTGGAAGAGATCCTAATGCTCTCAATGCTAGAAAGGACAACTCTGGAAGCTAAACCCAAAATCTTTGAGCAAACTAGTTTTTTGAGTGAAATAATTTTCCTCTCTGGTCAGAGATGAACTCACTAGGAAAACCCAAAAATACTTAGTATGTTATCTCCTTAACATTTTATTCAATATGACAAAGTTTAATGGACTATGGTCCTTAACTAACTCAGATATGACATCATATTTTATAAAATTTAATTAAATCGTGAGTTGCTGCTTAGAATACTGGAAGCAAAAGATGAGGGGGAAATAAAGGGTAACTAATTTTTATGACTCACAAAAGTAAACCAGACTCAGTGATTGCCATGATCAAGTTTACTCTTGCTCATCTACATCAAGTTTCATTTTCTGCACCTCCTAGCAAGTCTCCCGGGAAGATCAGGAATCCAGCTCTGGTGGTCAGCGCACCCACTAAACGCATAACCAGCTAAGTCACTTCTCAAAGTCTGGTGACTATTCACGTCCAGAGTCTGTCTTTTTCTAATACATGCCAGCTTAAACACTGAGCTGCTTCTCTATCAGAATAGCAATGACATACAGCAAGAGATGTTGAACTGGCACGATGGTATTTACACTTCCCACCTTTTGCTAGAGAGGAAGGAAAGGGATGAAAACAGGACATCCATCCGGTTAACAGGAAGAGTAGAAAAAAAGCCTGACTACAAGTACCCAACATTGTAATGGATATATTCCATTCAGTAGCCAGCTGGGAGACACATTTTAATCAGGTTTCTAGCCAAGACTCCAGATACCCATGTCTCTAATAATTTCTGCATTTGTTCTTTATATTTAATATAGAATCACAGAATATCTTGAGTTAGAAGGGACCCATAAGGATCCATCACGTCCAACTCCCTGCTCCTCATAGGACTGCCTAAAACTAAACCATATGACTAAGAGCGTTCAGACGCTCCTTGACCTCAGGCTTGGTGCTGGGACCACTGCCCTGGGAAGCCTGTTCCAGGGACCGGCCACCCTCTTGGTGAAGGACCTTTTCCTAATGTCCAGTCTGAACTTCCCCTGACACAGCTTTGTCCCATTTCCCTGTGTCCTATTGCTGGTCACCAGAGAGAGATCAGCACTTCTCCCTCCCCTGCCCCCCTTGAGGAAGTTGTAGACTGCGATGAGGTCACCCCTCAGTGATGAGGTCACTCCTCAGCCTTCTCTTCTCCAAGCTGAACAAACCAAGTGACCTCAGCCACTCCTTGTAAGTCTTGCCCTCGAGGCCTTTCACCATCTTGGTCACCCTCCTCCGCACACACTCTCCTAGTTTGATGTCCTTCTTGTATTGAGGCACCCAAAACTGCACACAGTACTAGAGGTGGGGCCACACCAGTGCAATGTAGAGTGGGACCATCAACCTCCCCCTCAACCAGCTACCTATGCTGTGCTTGATGTACCCCAGGACACGGTTGGCCCTTTTGGCATACTCATATTCAACTTGCCATTGACCCAAACTCCCAGACCTCTTTCTGTGGGGCTGCTCTCCAGCCTCTCGTCCTCCAGTTTGTACATATAACCAGGATTAGCCCATCCCCGGTGGAGAATCTGGCGCTTGCTCTTCTTGAATTTCATACGCTTCGTGATCGGGCAGCTCTCTCTGTAAGGCCTCTTGACCACTGAGGGAGTCCACAGGTCCTCCTAGTTTAGTATCATTGACAAACTTACTTAATGCACATTCAACTACTGTGTCCAGATCATTTACAAAAACATTAAAGAGCATTGGCCCTAAAATTGAGCCCTGGGGAACCCCACAGGCCGGCAGCATGATGTGACCCCATTTACCATAACTTTGAGCCTGACCTGTCAGCCAATTGCTCGCTCAATCTATTATGGACTTGTCTAGCTGTGTGCTGCACAGGTTATCCAGAAGGATACTGTGAGAGACAGTATCAAAAGCTTTGCTAAAATCCAATCACACATCTACTGGCTTCCCATGGTCAACCAGACAGGTGACCTTGTCACAAGAGGACATTAAACTGGTTAAACAGGACTTTCTCCTTGTGAACCCATGTTGGCTATGATCAATGGCTGCGTTGTTTATCAAGTGTTTTTCAGTAACTCCAGAATAACTTCCTCCATAATTTTACCAGGCACCGAAGTGAGACTTGACAGGCTTGTAATTGCCAGGGTCTTCCTTCTTACCCTTCTTGAAAACTAGGACAACACTTGCCAGCTTCCAGGTGACTGGGACCTCTCCAGACTCCCAAGACTATTGAAAAATAACAGAGAGAGGTCCTGCAATGACATTGGACAGCTCTTTCAGGACCCTGGGATGAAACACACCAGGGCCCATAGATGTAATGCACATCCACTGGAGCAGCAAGTCTCAAACAAGTTCAGGGTCAGCTGGGAGTTAATCACGGTCTTCCAACACAGGGCTCATCATTGGTGTTAAAAACAGAGGCGAAGAAGGCATTAAATGTCTCTGCTTTGTCTACGTCCCTATTTATGCGGCGACCAACCTCATCAAGTAATGGACTAATGTTCTCTCTGATCCTCCTTTTGCTGTTAACATATTTTAAAAAGCCCTTTTTGTTGTCCGTCATAGTGCTGGCCAGCTTGAACTCTAATCGAGCTTTGGAAGCACGAATTTTCTCCCTACAGTGGCAAATAGATTCCCTGTAGTCCTCCCGAGTGCCCTGTCCTTGCTTCTAATGTCCATACACTTCCCTTTTGCCTAAGTTCTAGAAGATCCCTGCTCAGCCAAGATGGCCTTCTGCCCCACTTGCTCATCTTCCAATACTGGAATTGCCTGCTCCCGCGCTCTTAAGAGATGGCTCTTAAAAAGCAGCCAGCTTTCATGGACCCCCAATACCTTCAAAAGCAGATTCCCAGGGGACCTTACTAACTAGCTCCTTCAGCAGTCCGAAGTCTGCTCTCCCCATATCCAGGGTCAAAGTTTTGCTTGCAGTTTTTCTCCTATCACCAATGATTTGAAACTCAATTACTTCATGGTCACTGCAACCAAGCCAGCCACCAATCACCACTTCACCCACAAACTACAAATCGAGGAGGGCACCCTTCCTAGTCGGCTCCCTCAGGACCTGCACCAAGAAGTTATCTTCAGCACGCTTCAGAAATTTCCTGGGCCTGTTTGTGTCTGCTGTACGATATTCCCAGCTGATGTCTGGGAAGTTAAAATCACCCATCAGGACAAGGGCAGTTGAACTACAGATGTCCCCTAATTCCTGTACAATAACAAATTGGTGTCATCAGCCTGGCTGGGTGGTCTGTAGTAGACTCCCACAACAACATCCACTAATACATATATAAAAAATTATACATATATTAAAAAAAAATATATATGAAGTAACTTTTTACTTATACATGTAAATTATGCCATAACACCTCATTCAGAACTGCCAAGCATTGACATCTAGATTCATTGTACTCATTTCCCTCACTACCCAGATAGAAATGCAGGGGTCTTTCCAGTGCATCCAAAAGATTAATAAATGTTAAAAGAAGGAAGAGTTAAGAATCCTCTACACATAGCTCCCTTAAACCAATACGATGTTAGCGTTAACATCCACAGGATGTTCTCTAGGACAATACGGATGGACTAGGTGAAAAAGAAATTCAGGTGTTAAAGGTTTGTCTCTGGAATATTATTATTTTAGGGCCTTGAAAACCTATTTATGAACTAAGTTTCCATTTCAGTCAGTGCCACACACATGCAAAACAAACACCATTTCTGCCCCAAACAGTTCTGGCTACCAGGCGCTATCTCCACAGGGCAAAAGTCCAGCACCTCTAGGGCCATCCCCAGAAATTAGCTGCTTGTTTCACGCAGGACTGTTCTGCACTGAAGGCATATATATATATATATGTATATAGCATGCTGTATAACTAAAGGGAAGGTTCAGTACACGTCCTACAGCAAATCTTTTCCTAGTCAGACCACAGGGAATGCAGTTGAGCAGGGGACTGCTGGGAGCAGGAACAGTGTCTGAGAATCATTTTCTGTGGACTGACAGATTTTACATGCCTGCTCAGCCAGGATTTTCTTTTTCCCAATTGTATATAATTTTAACTTTATGCTTACTTCTTACGTTTCCCCAGTGCAGTTTGACATGATGCGTGCTTGTAACCTCATCGCCACTGTTGCTCTGACTGCTGGCCAGCTCATCTTTGTCCTGGGCCTGATGGAGCTACCCATCATTTCCCAGGATACCCAGTGGTGGGAGGAGGCCATAGCTGCCGTGTTCCAACTTGCCAGTAAGTCCGCTTCTTTTTACTGATCGAAAAATACTTCGTCCCTATTAAATCCAGGTGGAAAAGAGTGTCTGTCTTCATTAAAAAAAAAAATCTTTCAAGTGACAAAGAACAGCAAAAAGACGTAAATCTAAAAGTAAGTTCATTGTCTCTTAAAAGCTCTCCCCATGAGATTCTGCAGTACATGAACAGAGGCTTTTATCTTGGATATATCAGAATGAGTCTTCTGCCAACCAAGGAAAACAAGCCTTTATTATTTCCTATGAAACCAGGAAGGCAAACATGAGAGAAATGAACTGGATGCAATGCGATCCCACAATTTAGTAGGACAAAATACACCAAAGGAACGGTCTGAAATCAGAACAGAACAGCTGAGCAAATTTTTGAAGTGCTGCTTGCATGACTATTTGCTTTCAGCTACGTGAGTTTTACTCAATGGCCATCAGCTGGATTTTGGCAGATACATCTGCACTCCAGCAAAGAAATCTGAAGTAAATTCATAACACTGCTATAAATAAAATTCCCACAGTAATTCTCATGGACACAGACTTTATACAGCCATGAACGGGGAAAGGATGAAATGGTTTTATCACAATTCTGTATTGACAGCAGTGGCAGCAAACTGTAAACATTTTCCAATACTACTTTTGCTACATAAAACAAGTCACTCAGTGTTCATTACACCAAGAGTCCAATCCTATAAAACACCCATGCATGAAACTGTCATTAATGCAGTGTAACATTCAGGCTGCTTACAAGATCAGATGAAAAAATCTATCATTATTATTAATGTAAACATGTTATAATAAAGTAACACCATTTTACTTTAAATCTTAATTTCAACTTTAAAAACTCAGAATATTTAGAATGGTGTAAACCTACTGAGACCTCAGGTTTACACTGCTGCAAGACCAGAATCTAGCCCAGACCATTTAAATAAGCTCCTCACAGCAACAAACACCCGTTAAGGATGATGAACCTGAACTCCCAACAGGAGGAGGAGACTGCAGAGGTTCTCTAACTTTCAAAGCATCCGATCCAGCTTCCCAGTGCAGCGAGACCCTCAAGCACCAGTCAGTGCTATGAAGAGACACATGCATAGCCTTGCCGTAACAAGACCTCCCTACAGCCTCTTCACGTACACCATGGTCTCTGTAACCCTGGATGCCTTCTGAATTGCTCTCCCTGACCATCGGGTGATGCCTGCTTTACTCCCAACTCCCTCCCATCCTCCCCAAAACGCGACAAGTCTGTTTTTCCCAGAGAGGAAATGCATTCTGGCCCTGTTTAGATGTGTTGTTTCATTGACAAACAGCACAGTGGACAGCCGTGTGCCTTTCTTCTATCAAGGCTGCTAATTATAGACTGGGCTTTTTTTTTTTTTTTTTCCCTTTTTTTTTTTTTCCTGTGCTGGAGTCTGTTTTAAACACAGTCAGAGAGAGACTGAAGGGCGCCAGGATATCCCGACACAGGAGGAGGAAATGCCTGCTATTACCTGTTATGCAAGCTGAACCTTGAAATCCCCAGTGCTGGGAAGGGAGAGGAGAGGAAAGCCAGAGTCAGGATGATTAACAAAGCACTAATGAGAATGGCTGAAGAAGCTGTTGAATCGAGGAGTTCATCTGCCTGCCTGTGTTCAAAAGGTGTGAAGAGATGGATCTGGCAGCTCCTTACGGACAAGCATTGCGCTCTATGAATCAAAGGTCTCCCATCTGCAGAACCAATGCAGTGGCTTTGGTGGCTATCCCTGCCCCCCTTCCCCATCCTCCTTCGCAGTTATGCCACGCTCTCCTTCGCCATCACATGGTTTTTTGCCCTGTAGTCAGTAACATGATACTCATTTTACACCTCCTTATCTTAATGAAAGCTTTATGTTTAAACAAATTCCTTCCCTATGTCCAGAACAACCAGCTGAACCCTCCTGGAACATATACCTTTGAAAAAAGGAGTCACCGTATCTGCTATTAACCCGGTAAAAACCAGACCTCTTGGAGACCTCCTGAGCCTTCCAGGACAGTGGCACATCACCTGCTGACTGCCTGGGCAACCAAGGGTCTGTGCCCACAGGACAGGCGGTTCCCAGTGCAGCCTGCACTGCGCAGAGAGGCTGCTTCCTCTTTCACAGAGCCCAACGTGCGCTCTGTAACGATGAGCCACTCAAACCGGCCACAGAAATCAGCCCCATCCGCCAAATGCCCCAGTTGGGCCCAGGTGACGACATTTTCTGCATTATGGCTGCAGTGTCTGTGGTATCAGACAAAACACGTGTGCCAACCGTGAGCAACTCCAGCATCCCCGCTGCTCTGAGGAAGGGCCGCTGCGACACCCGGAGACCAAGACTGAAGGGGAGGAAAGCGGCCACCCCTGATGCTGTAAAGCCACAGGTGATGCTCAGCCTCTGAGCCTCCACTCCAAAATGGCAACCTCGCATCTATCTTCAAAGTAAAGTAGCAATATTAGCCAAAAGCATCAGAATAGTGGATACAAAGCTTGTATTTAAAAGCACTTTTCCACACAAAATAGCCCAAAAGAAACCATTGGGAAGCTCTCCCCTACTTCATTTTAAGAGTTAAAGCCAACATACTTTAGGCCAGAGAGATCATTTACGTGAGAAGAGCAAACAATATCTAAGAATATACACGCTTGGATCTTATTAAATAGCTCTTCAGATATTACTGGCTGGGTAATTTCTATTCATTGCACCTTCAAATACGTCACTGAAAACACAAGCACCCACCTCCCTTTTTTTCCTTTTCAAAATCCAAATTATCTGGAGAATTGTTCTGCAATTGCTCGTCCTGTCAATAATTTCAGAAAAAATGCTCTTGAATCATGTCCCCTCTAATTCCAACTTCTGTTTGATCTCTAACTTTGATCCTGGAATAAGCCAACAAGCGCTGAAGAGAACCGCAGTGATGACTGTTAGAATGAAATCTAATATTACGGAGGAAGGCCTGAGTATTATGGCTCAGAATCACAAAGTCAACCTATAATTTACTTATTTTTAGTCAGAGTTTACCCACTGAAACACTGAGTGTGGGCTTCATTACAGCTTCCTGAGGTCTGAGCAGAAGTTCTTTTTGTTCTAGAAAACTAAGTGTACTGAGTATCGTCTCCCAAACCCCATCACAAGCTCAATCAACCACCTCTGATCCCACTAGAGCTTGCGGTGACTCCAGGCTCCACCGCTTTTTCACTTCTGCCACCTGCATGAGCATCTGATGGTCATTCAAAAAGGATGGACCTCTGACAGCAAATAAAGCCCCAGGAAGCAAAGAGGAAGGAAAGAAGAGAGGAAACAGCATTGCTCCTGGGACAGCGACGGGATTCACACAGCTCCAAAACTCCGCAACCTCACACCTCCCAGTTAACAGGAAAGCGAGCTGTTTGCTTTGGAAAAGGCATGTGGTGAAAATGGAACCAGTGCTGTACATGGAATTGTGTGTCAACACTCAGAAATGGCCCTCTAGAGGGTTTTGGGGTTTCTGTTTTTTTCCAAGGAACTGTTAAAAACTCCATGTGCTGAATATAGGATGGATAACAGAGCTGAGAGAAGAGCAGCTGGAAAGGGAAATCCATGCTAACAGGATAGGGAATGAAGAGCACTTCAGAGAACACTGAACTACCACAAGCAGTGGCCTGCCAGACTGGATCCGACCTCGAGGGCCTCCAGCTGAGTCTGCGATCTCGTACAGTGGTGATTATCAGACTTTAGAGTGATTATCAGACTTTAGAGTGAAACATTAGAAACATAATGGTGAAAATCTGGGATAAAATATCCCTTACATTAGGTCTCATCCTAGTTTCTGAAAGTCCAAGATTGGAATAAACCTGAATTATAATGATTAATATTCTTGCCAATCCATTTTCAGCATTAAATTACTTTTAATACATAGTATCCTGAAGATTAAGAAGTTTTGTGTTCCTACTTAGCTTGACATTTACAGACGAAGAAACTACAATCTCCCCTTTCTCTCTTGGATTTCAAACATCGCATTCCAGCTTTTCCTACTGTGTTTTTCTGCTGACGGTGTATTTCACTCCAGACCCCTAACGCATCACAGGAAATCTGAGTTCTCGCATACTCTCATCTCTGTGCTATTAAACCTAAATCAATTATTAGACCATTCACCTTCTCTCCTTTCAGGGTACTAGAGATTTAGATTGGCTGATACCCAGAAAATCTTAATGCAGAACAGACCAGGAAAGCAGACACTGGAGAACATAGCTGAAGATATTCACAATAGTAACGCGATCCTGATTTCTGTATTACTTCCTTCCACCTTTTTCCTTCACAACACCCTCAAGCCAGATCTGTTCTAAGATGAAATCTATGGAGCTGTAAACCTAATACTTCCTGAAAAGGAAGCAAATAAACGAGACACTGTAAATAATCTAAAAGTCATAACAAAAAGAGAAACCTTGACTGCTTGATTTGCGCTAAATGTATTTCTCATTTTATGTCACCTCAGCACCAAACTTGTGCATTCTTTATGTGGACTGCAAACCTCACAATAAAATGATTTTGTTTTCACACATTTGCAAAATGAACGGCATTTGCAAGGATCTTAAAACATGGAAGCTGATCTCACTTATTTTGACTAAAATAGTTCACATAAGCAATGGAACCAGTAAACTGGGAAGGTGCAGCAGCTCACAAGAAGCGTGTTGAACTCTTCGACGGGTGTAACTGCAGCAGAGAGATCTGCCTGTATTCTTCATGTCTAAATTCTGATACAAATAGCAGGTGATTTGTTGTAGCATCTCAATATCGAGGGCATGTATCCCGATTAGAAATATGGTAACAAATATATTACCAGATAAATATCATTTGGCTGTGCAAGTGTAAGGAACATGTTTTATGACAGACATAGCATTAGAAATAATGCAGTAATGCAGAAAGAAGCATGTGAAATGAGAAGTTCTTCAACCCAAATACTCACTTTATTGCTTATGAGCATGCATATTGTATATATATAAATATATATATATATGTCTCCTAA